TTTTTTTTTTTTTTTTTTGGGGGGTTTTTTTTTTTCAGAGGAAAGGACTATAAACTGGTAGCTGAGAATTAAAAGAACTCAACACTTCCCCTCTCTTTTCAGTTCTTGCACTATTCCTATTTGATGTGATGGCTTTCTATATACTCTCAAATTAACCCTGTGATTCTCTATAACATGTCATTACTCTGAAATCTTTGCAATGATCTAAAACATCCAAGTCTACACTGTTACTTTCTAGCCACTGGGAATTCTTGGACAGAAAAGAGAGAACTGAGAATTCCAGACCAAGCAAATACTCAGGTCAGAGTTAAAGTAGGCTAGTATGACAAATTCTCACCCCTGTTATAACTCTTCTTTCTCCAGGTTGACTGATAGCTTTTTCTACATAACTTCCCAATTTTTACCCAAAAAAAAGACTTTAAGAAAAAGGATACTTTTAGCTGCCAGTGAAATAAAATAAATTACTCATGATGCCTTAGGCCAATTAAGAAACATATTTCCTGAGAAATATTTCTTGATATGTCAGTGGTGACTTTGACATGACATCAGGTTTTTCCTGGAACCCCTCTCCATGAGGTCACAGAGAAGCTAACCAGAGTATTCAAATTCATACTTTTTTCCACTGATAGTGGTGCAATGGCAAGAAAACAACAAATCCAAAAAGTGTTAACTCTTTTTTTGGCAAGGCCTTTTTCTAAATCTTCTACTACTGCTTTATCTACTGGTCAGCTCCACCTTCCTTTAGTACTTTATGGGTTTAACCTGAGTCAAGGAATCTCATTCTCTTGAACAAAGAAAATTTATTATGGATGAATTCTTCACTGATTTGAGATTTAGGATAACCCTTCACAGACTTATAGGTTTTTAAAAAGGTAAAGACTGATAAAAACATTGTATGGATAGAAAGAATGCTCAGTCCTGTTTGGACTTCCTGTAATTCACACCACACTTTTAAGGTACTGACCATACAAATATTTTCAGTACATTCACGTGACTGCATATTAATAGATGCAAAATAAGAAGCTAATTCTGCACATCAAAAGAAAGGTCTATCATGGCTGCTTATACCACTGGAAGGATATTTTTCATTAGAGAACAGGTCCACAGCCTATCAACTGCAATGTGTTGTGATTTATGAAATGATAAAAAGTAACCAAAAAGCTTTACACTAACTATTAAAAAGGTAGGTGAAAGTGCTCTCATACTGTAAATAAATGAAGTTAATGAAGCTGAACCCACTGATTCCAGCAGAGAGATTGTTCCATGGGATTTCTCCTTTAAATGTGTAGTAGACTTTATCTGCTAGTGTCCAAGGTCAAGGGTATAAATTCTCTTTACAAGAAAGATAATAGAATATCATATTTATTTTTCAATTTAAAAACTCAGTATCCATTAAAAAATGTATTTCATGAAATACAGCCAAAAAACATTAATCAAAACAAACAAAATGTGGGAATATTTTCCTTCTCAATAACTAAAGCCAATATACCTGGAATTTTCCAGGTTTCTGAAAAGATTTTCTCACCAGTAGTCCATTTCTCCATTCAAATACAGTTATAGAAGGGTTACAATTTTTTTTTTTGTTTTTTTTTAAATCAAGAACAAACACTTCCACTACAGACAAAACATCATCAGACTATGATTTAAAAATGAGTATTAAACAATGAATTCCATTCTGTAAATGAAGATCAAAGAGTAGCTGATGGCAGCACAGGTGAGGCTGAGAAAGATGCTGCACTTCAGCAACCCAACTCTTCATGGGCCAAGGCAAGTAGTCCCAAACCTTCCGAAACTCAGGCAGGAGCTGGATGCTACCCAGGCATCAGTTATTTCTGTGTGCCCAAGATGTGACTTCTTTTCACAAAACCCTCCAACAGCTGACCCTTCTTTTCAATTACCTTTACATCAAACTCCTTCTGTTTTACACAGAGAGGATGAAGTTTTGTGAAGTACATGTTTCTTCGAAAATGCCTTCAGAAAATCCTCAATCTAAAACTCTTTACTAGACATGGCAGATCATAACCTCCTAGTTCATGACATTAACATGCAGAGCATTCATCAGTATGAATCATAGGAGGAAAACCAGTGCTCAGCATAGCTGAACTCCCTGTGACTTGTTAAATAAATAGCTGACCAAAAAGCATGACCTAGTGTGTCATGTGCCAGACTCAAAGTCAGGCACCCAAGTTTTTATCCATCTCTGATATCTTTTTTCCCCCCTGGCAATGCTGGGTAAAATGACCCTTCAGAAGACTTTCCTTACCTAGAAACTGTTAAATTAAGGTTGTAATATTTGTATGGCATTTGGAAGAGATTATTTTTCCCTAAGAAATAAGAAAAAAAATTCATTCTTTACAATTTTCTCAAAATAGTTTGTTCCCATGTGTAGGGAATATTACAAAGATCATCAATATTTTTTCCCCTCTTGCCTGTTCTCCTTAATTTTGACAGTAAAGAGCAGATATTTCCTTGTAAGACAAACTATTCAAAAATAATGAGACATCCAATAAAATAAAAAAGGAGAAAATCCCATGTACATACTTGACATCATCGAAGACACTCATCTGCAGCTTCAGGAGATCTGCCACTTCCTTTATTAACTCCAAGCCCTTTTCCACACTCAGGGGGCTGTTGAAAGGGAGCAAGAAAACAGAGCATTAAAAAAATGGAACTCATCAATACTTGAGAGGGTAAAGGTCCCAAAAGAGTTATCACCTTGGCCTCTTTGAGTCTGAAAGCCACCACTAACTGTATTCCTGTCACATAGTGATCGTGATATCAAGGGAATTGGGATCAGGTGCTTCTTCAGGCATGATGAATCACCTGAATTTTCCAGCAATAAGACAAACAATAAGGTGCAAATGGAATTGTTAGGAAGTGTAATGGGCCCATGATGCAGCAACCAGTTCATCTCAGTCCTCAATAAAAAATGTAATAAAGTAAAAGGACAGAAAGAAAGAAAAGGATTGACGAGACAAGGAGGGAAACAAACAATGAAAGTCAAATTGCAAGCTCAGTATCAAATGGACAAGTGAAAAGCATATTTTTAAATTCATTAGATTTTAAAATGAATCTTTGCCCAGGGAAAAGATGCAAAAATTATTATGGATTTGAAAGTAAACAATGGAGCAAGACACACAGTCCAGAGGACATTGATTAGATACATAGGATTTAGCTTGGTGTGTGCATACACTGCTGACAGAGACCCCTTTAAATCTTTTTAACCTTTGTCAATGCCACATTTACATTTTTTAATTTAGAAAACAGGTTGCAATCAAGCCTAACACAATATGACTGCTATCATTTTAAGAAGCACTTATCCAGATGCAAAATTTATATTTGCAAAAATTTCAGGCTATTAAAGCTGATACAACTCTAAAGATGTATTAAGAACATCCCATCCCTAATATACAGATCCTACCTTGCTTAGTTGTTCAGTATTGTGGAACCAAATAAAAAAGCATTAAGAAAGAAAAAAGATGCAGAAATGATGTAACAGTGTCCAGTGAAAACAACATTCTCTGCCTAAATTGTGATCGCAGATTTATTCTCAACATTGTTAAAGCCTCAAAGACCATAAAATTATACCTTACAAGCATATCTAACTTATGCCATGGAAAGCAGAAACAACTTTGCTGAGATTAACTCACAGGAAAAAAAGGTTCTGAATTTGTTCCTTCAAGGATCTATAATAAGCAGGAGAAGAAGGTGTCAAAAAAAGTGTGTAGTATTAGACACAATCTTTTCAACTAGACTCAGGAAAAAAGATTTTTTTCAAAGCTTTTTACAAAGGTCACTATTTCTACCTCAGAGCTGAAGCTTTTTTGATCTAATTTTATATCACAGTAATTCATTGCCACTATTTTATTTATTGACTGCAGTGACCACTGGGGGTTTGGGTTTTGTTTCTGGTTGGTTTTCTTTTTTGGTTGTGTGGTTTGTTTTTTGGTTTTTGTTTTTTGGTTTTTTGGGTTTTTTTTCACTGCATTTTTGGTGTTTTTTTTGGTTTCTGCATGTACTGCCCTAAGGGCACTTCTATTTAAATTATGGGATATCTCATGTGGATCTTGGTTAGGATGGAATTGCTCAGCCTCCCTTCATGCTACTAGCCCAAAATGCTCAAGAGACCTTCTGTCACACAACCAGAGGTAGCCCCTCAAGGCACCAGATAAATATAGAGATTTTCTGGATTTCTAAGACAGAAATGCTCCTGTGTGAAAGCAACAAAAGAATCTGACTGATTGTGTAAGGTAAAAAAAAAAGTACTACAGATTATTCAAAAAACAGTTATATTTCAAGGACTGACAGCGGATAGAAACGTGATTATTCTCATCACTATGAAAGCAGACTGTCATAGTTACTCTAGGGTTTATGTGTTAATTAAATCTTTTCTCCCAAAGAGGTTGGCTTAAATTACAGAAATGATTGGTGTCAGCAAGTGGGCTTTTACTGTAACAGCAAGTCTGATGCAGGCAAAGGCTGCTGTGCCCATTGGTGCTGCTTTTTAACCAAGGGAGCCTCACTTGCAAAGCTCAGCCTCCTACTCCCAGCTTACCCCTCCCTACTGCCCTGAAAAAGCATCTCCCAGACTCAAAAAGAAGATATGCTGCAACAAGCCAATGCAGGAGCAGTAAATGGGGGGTGTAATCAGAGCATTTGAATGCTACAAACCAGCAATAATGTTGGAGGGGAAATGGGTGAGAAAATGGTACAGGAAGGCCATTGTTTTGCAAGCCTGAGCATCCAAGAGCAGTCTCAGTAACTCTCACGCAATATCAAACTCAAACACAAAGGTTCACAAACTCAGATGCAGTTTGATAGGCTAAGAAATTATCATTGATAATAGCTCGGGAAAGCTGCAGGATGAGCATTCTATGGTAGCAATACTATTACTGATCCCACAGTCATATTTGAGAGCCCCCATTAAGAATGATTACCATCACAATATTTTGAAATGCCATTTTTCCAACTTTCCAACACTGATACAATCTAGTACTGTTTATTACAGTTCTATGAAAGCTGTCTGTAGGACAGTAGACTCTTAAAAACCTTTCTCTAAAAATTCCAAGGCCATGATTTTCCACCCTGAATTAAAGCTTTGCTTTTGTTTAGTGTTTCATTTTGCTCATTGTTGCATGGTTTGTATGGTGATTGCCTTTAACTTTGTTTACATGGAGAGAATCATACCATTTCCACCAGAATGGTGCTAACCAAACTGACCTACCTTGCAACAGCACCATTCACCCACATCACCCATCTGACTTCAGGCTTTCACAAGGACAATCTTTCAAATATCACCTGTTCTCCCGCCCATAGTCCTCCCACTCATCCTCAGTGCAAGCACTCAATACTCGTAGACCGGATGATATTTGTGATCTTTCACATACTTAGTTTTGAGCCTTCTCAATTCAGTTTCTGTATTAGGGAGTATTAGGGAGTTTTTTTCTTAGAAATATTTTTTGTCTATTGATTATGAGGGTTCAACAACTATGGAATTAATTCAACAGGAAGTGTTAGACAAACCAATAAAGAATGACAAAAAATAAGTGTTGAGATAAGGAACAAATAGCGAGACACTGTAGACTGAAGTTGTAAGAGTAGAAAGAAGGCTCGTTAGACAACTGAAATATTTTATCAAGGCCAAAGACTTGGAGAAAAATTGTGGGAAGGGTTCACACTGCTTTGTCTGATCTGTGAAGATGGTCACTGCAGTCCCCAGTGGGGGATCTGGGAACTCCTTTGGTGCCGGGCCTTGCTGGCACTCCAAGCAGTAGAGCACAGAGGGAGTCCCTGGGCTGTGGCCCCTCACATTCCAGGGCCAACTCAATGCATTTTCTTTCAGAGTCTGTGAAAAGGCATTTCAGTACACCGCAACAGTGAATCCTTAAGAGAGGAATCACAATTTACATAGCCCTCAGCTCAAAGCATGAGCTGGTAAAAAAAAACAAATGCAGAAAAAGGACCTCTCATGGATGCTATTTATATTTTCCAAGTTCTCCTGAGGCTGGCTAACCCTTTCTGTGTCCAGGAAAATGAATGGTTTCTGCAGTGCCTTTAACTCCCAGCTTGATGGCCACTGGAACAGGCTCCCAGGTCACAGCACTCTCAGCAGAGTTCAAGTGTTTGGACAATATTCTTGAGCACGTGCTGTGATTTTTGAGGTGTCCTGTGCAGAGCAGGAATTGGACTTCAGTGATCCTCATGGGTACCTTCCCACTCAGGATATCCTATGATTCTATGATTTGATTTTACCACTACATTTTTGGATTGCCTTGAAGGTTTCTGATCACCTTTGGGCTAGATTTCGGCCTTAGGAAGAGTCAACTGCTGGATGGCAGATCACCTTTTTGCAGATGATATATATGTTGCCAGCTGACATCTTGAGACAGTGCTTACTTCGGGTTTCCTACCTTTGCTCTCATTCAATTTGCTGTAGATTTCTCTTTTGAGCCTTCTTTCAAGGTATCTGTAATAACAGCAGCTAAAAGAAAATGTGATACATCTCACTATTTAAAATAATTCTTTTGAGGTCCTTTTTAAGTTTCCATCTCCAGCGCTCTTGGAAGATGAAAAGAGAGTCAGAAAGTATATAAAATTCACGTATAATGTACTTTTTTCCATTGCTTTATCTTCTAATACCATCTCTATCTGTGAGCACTATCCTAATTGTTATTTTTTTAGTTGATAGATTCAGACCCTTCTGCATCAGTAGCAGAACTCTCTCTCACTTACATACCAATCTCTATCTCATATTATTGGTAGAATAACTTTGACACACTAATGACAATGAATAAATAAGTGGGGAATGAAATATAAATATTTCCTTTGGGATTTATAAAGATACATAGATTATAGATAGAGTTTCAAAGTCTTTCAGAGTGTCATCTGCAAAATACTTCACTACTGATTTTTTTTGATCTCACTTTTCAGGGCAGGGCTCTTGCACTGTTATACCTCCTGGAGAATATGGTTTATACCTCAGCTAAAAATAGACAATATTATATGGTAGTACTGCATTATCCCTTCAGATGAAATTACTCCCCAGCTCAGTTCAAGACTCTGATGTCATGATTTAACATCATGACGTAGTTATGAAAACTTCTGTATCCAGTTTAATCATGTCAAAAATAAATCATCCAATTCAGATCTACTTGGTTGACCTAAAATAATCCTAGGCCAATCAGCTCCCCTTAAGTTCATCAGGAGTTTTGTGTAGTGCACACAAAAAAAAGAAAAAACAAAACAAACCCAAAAAAATCCCCAAAAAACAAACAAAAAAAAAAAAAAAAAAACCACAAAAAACCCCAAACCAAACAAACAGCCAAATCAAAAAAGGCAGGATCTAGCCTATGAAGCTATTTTATTTAGAGATGAATCTGAAATAAAAGCACAGGAATAAATATCTCTTAAATTTAATGTGAGCTGCTGAGCACTTCTGAAAATTAGTGCAATCCATTTAAATGCTCAGGAGTGGATTTGGAAGCCCAACTTTATGTAATTGCCAAAGTGTCTCCACAAAGTGTAATGGACATTGAATACCAGAAAATTAGATTGTCTGGTGAAAATAAGATTTTGTATCTTCCAGTGTCTAGGTCCCTACCAGTGAGGAAGCTGAAAACAGAAATATT